CGTTAGTATGAAAATTAAAAAATATTTCTGTAACCTAGAAAGAATAAAGAAAAGAACAAAAGGGTAGGTCAAAATCTTGTGAGGACGATTACCGTAGATTGTCCTTGTGGACCACCCTCCTTTTAATTAGGACCGGGGTCCCCAGGTCTGCCTCAATAACTTCCTCCAAAAATAGCGGTGATAGCTTGTTTCCTAGTCGCTTTTTTGCTTTTAGGAAAACTTTTTCGCCAACTTGATAGTCCTCATAGGTCCTATTCTTATTTTCTTGGTCAAGGGTCTTTTCTTTGGCTTCATGAATTTTCCTACTTATTCTTTTCTCGAATTCTGCGGACTTTGAGTGAACAATTTCCATTGGTATTTTATAAGTTACTGAGTGAAATTTTGGGAAGAAATTTATAATGTATAACAGAGGGGCTTTTATGTCCCCAATAGCCCTCGATGCGATGGTTTGCACTGTGGCGAATTTCGAGAATTCTCGAAAAAATCTGTCTGTTGATAAAATATCGATGTGTAGGATTTCCCCCACAGAAGAAGGTATAGATGTTTCTGCTACCACCTGTCTAGGTGGATGGCGTTTGTATTTTGCCATGGAACAGGTTCTGCAGTTCGACGTAATTTCCGTTGCTAACCGAAGCATTTTTGGGAAAAAATAATCCCTTAGAATTTTCTTTACATTTTCCTGTGCTGCTCGATGAGCTAGGGAAGTGCTAGGGAAGGACTCTATTATTCGGTGCTGGATAAATGCCAGGGTTGGTAGGGTGCAATATATTGCGTTTACCACTTCAGCGATTACCACTTCAGTAATGCATTTAGCAGGTTTTCCCGGTTGCGGGTTCCATCCTCAATTATTATTTGATTTCGGAAACAGTTTACTGGGTTGTCGGTGGTATTGATAGTGTAAGTCAGGGACTGTTCGCTATGAATGGTGGCTACATCTGATTCCGGAACGTCCTTTAGGGCGTTTATGTTCTGGTGAGACAACGCGTCCGCCACGAAAATTTCTTTGCCCGGGATGGAAGCTCTGTAGTTCTTTGAAGTACCTGTGTCCAAAAGTAGTTTTAATTCTTTTCCTGCTACCGTGCGTGTGATATAAGAGAGCAGGGGTCATAGTCTACGTCGTCGGTTTTTTCTTCCGGCATGAAGTTTATTATACCCTTGCTGAGGGTATTATAATTTTGTCCAAAAGTGCAACGCAGTGAAGGAGACATCTCCGACCCTATAAAGTATATATATCATGACCAGGATCACCTCCTGAGTTGATATGAGCATGTCCGTCTTTCCGTCAGTCCGTCTGTCTGTCTGTTTCTACGCGAACTAGTCTCTCAGTTTGAAAGCTATCATCTTGAAACTTTGCACACACCCTTCTTTCCTTTGCACGCAGTATATAAGTCGGAACGGCCTGGATTGGCCGACTATATCCTATAGCTGCCACATAACTGATTGATCTAAATTTCATAACATGCTAAATTTCATAAGGATCTATGTCCTATTCATTTAATGATTCGTAAAAATATATATACAGAAAACATTTTACTGCTTACAAATAATCTCATTTCTAAATAAATTTGAAATGTATGCTGAAATATTAAAAAATATAATATAATAAATAATATTATTTCTTTCGTCATTTCATCAAATAACGAATACCTGAATTTTGATAGGGTAGACAGCCTGAAAAGTTAGAAAAATCAAAATTTTGTGCGCTGGCTTCGAAACGAAATCGCACGCACACATGCCCCCGTGTGTGTGAACGTGTGACACGCATACATACAAAGAACAATCCAAGCGCAAACCAACCTTCTTCGTCGCGCTCCTTTCAGCGACTGAGAAACAGAAAGCATTATATGAGAATACGAGCGTAAGATGAACGAACGATGAGCGTAAGAGAGCGTAAGAAATACTCTCAGGGGCCTGCTGGGGCCTGTCGCAAGAAATTTTTGCGTCCATTTTCGTTGTATGAAATGGGTTGTCTATATGCTGTATGGTTAGTGATAATGGTTAGTATGGTTAGTTAGTGATGGTCTTGGCCGAGCCCAAAGAAAACCCGAAATTAAATGCATTCCAGGCGTTGCCTGGCTATTCTTTGACTTTCGTTGGACGAGTTGCTGCGGGCAATTCCCTCGCTGTCTTGACATCCGTCTCCTGGGAGTTCATTCTCCACTAGGTGGCATTCGCAGGCATTTGCATGTTATTATGCATATAGTAAAGGCGACAAACTAACTAACCACTCCATAAACAATAACCCACCAATTTGGAACCAACTTTGGTATTTTTGAAGATAGAAGCTTGGGACTTTTTTTTTAGATTTTATATTATAATAAATTGGGTTATATTATCATATTCTCATTAGGATCGGCCATCTATATCCGATGTTTGCGATATATATCCGGTTTTAACTGCAAGGGTACATCAAATTTTGCTTTCCCGAAGTTAGCTTTCCTTTCTTGTTTTTTGTTGGAATCGTTCTGACTGTCTCTTTTGCCATGTTGTGGGCTGCCTAAACCTGGAAGAGGTGTCAACCTCCATTGGTTCCGAAGATGGCTGAGCCTGAGTGTTGTAGAGTCTTTGTTAAAATTTGGGTTGTTAGTTTCCTTTTGAGGCCTAATGAAGTGAGGGGTTTTTATTATCGCCCGTAGTGGTCTGTTCGTAGTGTGTTTGGGAATTTTTCCAACCTCTTGCCGTTCGATATTCGGCTTATATATTCTCTCCTCATTGTGTCGGGCGAAAGTGGCCACAATTGCGCTTCTTTCGTTACTTGATTCAGCCTCTTGTGCCAATGCTAATGCTGTTGGCAAGTATCGTGGCTGTGCCGAAAAAACTGTTATTTTTAGAGATTTTTTTAAGCCAGATACGAACGCATGCAAAGCGTCATTTCTGTTTTGTTCATTCAAGATGGCCGCTGCGGCTGCGTCATGCGTCATAATTGTCTTATTAGTTAAAAGAGTTAGCTACTTCGTCGTAGTACTTAAGCAGGGGCAGTTCCCTTTGTCTGCACAAGCTTAATTCTTGTTTAATAACGTGCGTCGGAGTTTTGTCCGCGTACGTAAGATCTAGGCGTGCCAGTATGGCATGAAAATTAAATACTGCGTTGAAAGAGGATAATACAGCAGCCCCTGGTCCTCTAACTTTATTTTTTAGTATTGTCGGCTACTGCCATCATAAGTTTCAAAAACCTTATAAGCTGCGGTGGCGGCTTGCCTCCAGGAAACATAATTTTCCTGCTTGCCGTCAAATTTTGGGACTGATTTGACCATTTCAGGGGTTCATTACACTGTATCTCTGTTTTTAATTCAATTTCTTGAAATGTCTGAATGTTGGGGATGATATCTCTACATTTAAGTGAGTTTAACTCCTTTATGACTGCGGCTAATTTGCTATCAAATAATTTCTGTTGCTTTTGGAGTGCGCCAGTTAAGGCGGCTTCGGCACTCGCAATTTGTTCTTCCTGAATTCTTTGTGTCTACTAATGGGATTCTTTGTTTGTGATGTTGAGAGCGCTGTTTCGAATAAGTGCTGCCCTACTGCCCGTAATTGATGAAAGTTTTGTATAAGGGAATCAATAATGTTCCCTCTGTTAGAATCTAGCCAAAATTTATTCTCTGAATACCTTATTTATTAAAAAAATTTGTTTTCTACAAAAAATATTCTTTAATTGACGAACGTTTTGTGTAAGGGAATTTATAATGTTCCCTCTATTAGATACTGGTCAAAATTTATGCTCTGAATACCTTTTTAATTGGCGAAGAATTTAAACAAGAAGCCTACTCACATTTCTTATGATTACTATGTTGTCGCTGCTACTATTGCCGTCGGTGATACTGCTGCCGTCGCTGTTACTGCCACCGCCGTCACTGCTGCTGCTGCTGCCGTCTCTGCTGTCTCGGGGTGAGGCAGGGGTAACCTTATAGCTCCCTTTGTTTTTTTTTTTTTGTTGAAACAAACTGCAAGCGCGATGGAATTGCAGTTTTTTAAATATTTTATTGTTTGCAATTTACTTGGTAAATGCACTGCATTTTTTCGCGCGAGTATTTGGAACTCCGAATTTGCAATAATTTTGCAAATTAATTGAACTGTGTATCGCGTAGGTTTTTAATCACGTTTGGGCGCCAGTTATTGATAAGCATGGGCTATTATATTTGTTTAATTATTTTCCTTAAGCCTGTTAAGGCAAGAGCTAAATAATAATCCAATTGAGTTATTTTATTATTACTTTATTTATTTTTAAACCTGTTAAGGTAAAAGTTAAAGTTGGGTTACAAATTATTAAGTTGTTAATAATTAATTAGCACAACTATGGTTGTGGAGTACAGATCTTAGACTAACTTAAGGGTCTGATCCGGCTGCAGCTTGAGGCCGGGTCAGCAGGGGGTATCCAGTGACGATCACTCGTTGCACGAGTGTTCTGGCCGGGCTCTGGGCGATTGCTCCCAGAGTGCGGATTCGGCAGTTTCTTTACTGCTCGTGTAGGCCACCGGATAGGGCCTGCAATTCGGCAATTTATCTTTGTGGGAACTGGGTGTGTTAACTTATACGCGGTGTTTTTTTGGTAAAGCTGAGACGCGACGTACCGGGTGCGGGCTAGCTAGCGGGTATACGCGATGTTTCCCAGCTGTAGTGGAAGCGTGAAGGTACTGGAAACTTCCACTGCGGACTCGCTAGCGCCTGTGCGCGGAGTGCGCGACGCAGTCACAGGCGACCCAAGGGTGTGTTCCAAGAAATAGGAAGGACTGCTGACCAGCAAAAGGGCGACATTTAGGGAACCAACGGCAATGTAGCAGGAGGCACAACAGCGGCGACGGAGGAAAAGCCGCGATCATAACAACAAGAACGGTCAACAGGAAGCGCCGACGACGGAGCTGAGCGGAAACGAGAAGGAGCAGCAAGGATCCGGAGCGGAGCTCATTTAGGAAACAAGAAGTAATCTCTATTGTATTTGGAAAGCCCTCTGAATAAAGGGGTTGTAAAGTTTTCTATATTATTATATGGCCATGACAACCCTTTTATCGGGTCTCGGCCTGAAGCGCAATGTGCCTCCACGCGTCTCTGTCCTGAGCGCGCCTTCGCCAGTTGGTAACACCAAGTGTGGACAGGGTTTCCATCACCTGGTCTTGCCAACGCGTTAGGGGTCGTCCTCTCCTTCGTGTCCCAACAATCACCGCATCAAACACCTTACGAGCCGGAGCGTCTTCATCCATACGGGCAACGTGGCCCAGCCAGCGAAGTCTTTGAGATTTCACTCGACTGGATACGTCAACATCACCGTACAAAGATTTTTCGAAGAATTTTCCTCTCGAACACTCCAAGAGCAGCTGCATCTGTCTGCGTCACTGTCCAGCACTCCGCACCATATAGGAGTACTGGAAGAATGAGCGTCTTGTAGAGTGTGGTTTTTGTGCGTCGAGAGAGAGCTCTACTATTGAACTGCCTACTGAGCCCAAAGTAACACTTGTTGGCAAGTGTTATTCTCCGCTTAATCTCCAGACTGACATCATTTGTGCTTGTTATAGCAGTGCCTAGGTAGATAAACTCCTTGACGGACCCAAAGCTATAGTTTTCTGCAGTCAGCTGATTCTCAAGACGCCGCGATTCTCTGCTAGAACACAGCATAAATTTTGTTTTCTCCATATTCAATGCTAGTCCTACTTTTGCAGATTCCTTTTCAATAGCCCCGAAGGCTCCTGTAACATCACGATTGGTGCGGCCAATGATATCAATATCATCAGCGTAACCAAGGAGCTGGATACATCTGTTGGTTAATATCGTGCCCGTCCGATGTACATCAGCCTTTCTTATAATACTCTCCATTAAAATATTGAAGAGTATACAAGACAGCGAGTCACCTTGTCTGAGGCCACACTTGGTAGTAAAGGTTTCGGATTGGCCACTTCCTACCTTGACAGAGCTGATGGTGTTGCTCAATGTCATTCTGCAAAGTCTAGTCAGCTTTACTGGTATACCAAGCTCAGACATGGCGGCATATAGGCGATCTCGCCGGGGGCTATCAAATGCGGCTTTGCCTAAAATATTGCTGGCAGGCCGTCAGCACCTGCAGACTTGTTGTTTTTAAGCCGTTGGATTGCATCCTTGATTTCGATATGACTTGGGATTGGCACTTCAAAATCAGTGCCATAGATTGGGGTTCGTCGATCATAGTCTTCAGAGTCTGTGTTTGAGCCAGATAACAGACTCGAGAAGTGATCCCTCCATAACCTCAGCACGACCTCTGCTTCTGTAACAAGATTTCCATCATCGTCCCTGCACGCCATTGCACCAGTCTTAAGTCCTTGGGTCAGACGCTTGACCCTCTGGTAGAAGTTACGTGCTTCATTTCTGCGTCTGCTGCTCTCTGTGCTCTCACACTCTCGCCTTTCCTGCTCTTTCTTCTTACGTCTGAAAAGGCGTTTTTCGTCTTCTCTTCTCGACCTGTATACATCCACAACAGCTTGCGTCATGACACTCCTGATCGTACCATGGATTCCTTGTTAGAGGACGCTGGAATCCAAGCACTTCTTCTGCCGAAGCTCGCTGGGAGTAAGATATGAGCGCCCACATATCGCTTATGTCTTCAGGTATTGAAGGTGCTCGGCTTAATAGCCCCGAGACGTGAGTGGAGAATACATTCTTTGCCTGTTGTGATTGCAGCTTTCCGATGTCCAGTCTTCTTAACGCACTTCGACGTGCAATCTTCGCCACACATAGCCGTGTGCGAATCTTAGCTGCAACAAGATAATGGTCAGAGTGGATGTTGGGACCCCGACAGGATCGCACGTCGAGTATATTAGATGCGTGCCTTGCATCGATCACAACATGATCGATCTGATTTCTGGTCAGTCGATCGGGAGAGAGCCAAGATGCTTTATGGATGTCCAAATGACGGAATCCAATACTACGAACCACCATATTATGCGCAGCTGCAAAGCCTATTAAGGGGAGGGTAAGGTCAAATCATGCGAAAAAAGACATGTTTTTGTGATTTTTTTCCTGACGACACAGTTAAATTTTATTTATTCAACCAACGGTATATTAAAGTATGACATTAGAAGAATGTTTAATAAAATTTTTACAAACAAATTTTTAAAAATATGGCAATGGTAGCAGTTGTCCAGACGTGTCGCCAAAAAAAGTTGAATTGCGGTGCCCCTCATAACTCGGTGCTGGATCGTTTGTAATCAAAAAATGAAAATTCATTCGTTAGATAATAGTTCGCCCCAGGTAACGCTGTAAAGGTTTTTTGAAAATTGCAATTTTTTAATTTTTTCGAAGACTTTGAAGTGTAAAACTCAATTTTTTGGGAAAAAATCGGTTAATTTGTCATTGCCAAATCAAAATTATGAACAAAAAAAAAAAACTCGACAGCGTTACCTCGTAAAATATGTACAGAAATAGTGTTTAAAATTTCAAAAGGATCGGTGCAGTAGTTTTGAAGTTATGAGGGGCACCGACTTTGAAAACGTGAGTTGTGGGAAAAACGCTTTAAAGTTTTAAACAAAACAAAATCCAGTGTAAAACGTTTGCAAGCAACTTCGTCAATAACTAATAACTTCGTCAATTTTGCTTTAATTGACTTGAAATTTTGACACAATATTCTTCAGATATTATGCATTCAATTTAAAAAATAAAAAAAAAATTTAATACCTTACCCTCCCCTTAATCTGGTCCATTGCTCGAGGTGGTCTCATGTAGACTAAATCGCCCGACGGTGGCACCAAAGATGTCTTTTCGCCCTACCTTGGCAATAAAATCCCCGAGGAGAATGTTAATGTCATGGGAAGGACAGCGGCCATAAGCTCGGTCGAGCTCCGCATAGAAAGCGTCCTTGGTGGCATCATTCTTTTCCTCCGTTGGGGCATGTGCGCATATCAGGCTGATGTTAAAGAATTTGGCAGTAATTCGGATCGTTGCAATTCTCTCGTTTGTTGGCCGGAAGTGGGGGACTCGGCGCCGCATCCTGGCACCTACAGCGAAACCACAACCAAATTCATGCCGTTCTGGATGACAGCTGTAGTAAATGTCACAGTTATTCTTCTTTATGCAGCCTTGTCCTATCCATCGCATTTCCTGGATAGCAGTGATGTCAGCCCTACATTTGTTGAGGGTATCTGCTAGTTGTTAAGCAGCACCAGGTCTGTACAATGTTCGTACATTCCAGGTGCATACTCTCAAATCATTGTCCTTTTTACGCTTGCTATGGTCGTCAACGTTAGATCGGTTCCTTTCCGAGGCTTCTCTTGCTTCCTTCACTGAAATTGTGTTTTACATGGGTGGATTTCAAGTCCTACGCCAAAACCTAGTTTGTAGAGTTAGGACTCTCGTCGCGCGCTTTAGTTTGCCATTCAACGGCTGTCGAGCGACAATCCAGGGAGAACCACGTGGAATCACGCTGGCATTCACCAAGTTGAATGCAATCAGACACTTTGACCTGTATGCTTTCCCCATTCTCCCCTATATTAGTTTTTATATTATTCTATATTATATTAATCTTTATTATTTCTGGGCTAAATTCTGTGAGCTTGCTGCTGCACAGCGGGACTAATTGTTCCGAGCGGGAAGCAGAGAAACAGTTCGTTACAACATGTATGTCAAATGAAATGTGTGCCTTTGTATGCATACACTGCCGCTCAACTGAATAGGTTCATGATCTTATGGGTAGAAATTTATCTATAATTCCTAAACCAGTTTTTCGATTTACATAATTTTTTTTTCTTCAATTCTTAAATCATATTAAAATTAAAATCTGAAGAAGTTTTTTTCAAAAACATTTTATTTATTCCTTTTTTATTTTTTCTTCTGAAAGCTTAACAAAATCAATGAATTTTGTCGTTCATCTGAATAGGTTCAGCCTAAAAAAAATGCAAATTGTTTTAAGGGGTTATATACAGTTGTGATATATGAAAAAATCGATTTTTTTTTTTATTGCATATTCTTAAAGTATATTCTATTGGGAATACTTTCACAAAAATGCATAATGATCGGATCATTAGAACCGAAGCTGTAGCTATTTATAGCGCACTATCTGCATATAAAACTTGAACAAACTTGAAACTTTAAACGCGATTATCTCAGAATCTTTTTTTTGGGAAGTTACCTTTGCGGTGGACACGATTACTAAAAAAATACTAATCCGATCAACACCAAATTTTGACCACTTATTTATTATGATATTAGCTAGTCCGTGAACGAGGGATTTTCCATTTTTTTGAAAACTCCTTTTTAAAGAACAAAAACGAAAATCTTATACCCTGAAAAAGTACATTTTTTGTTAAAAACGTCGCCATTTTTTTTTAATCAAAATTTTTAAAAATCCCTCGTTCACGGACTAGACAATACAATATACTAACTAAACTTTTTTGAATTTTTATTTCGGATGAACCGTTTTCGAGAAATCCTGTCCACCGCAAGACACCATCGAAAAAAGACGATTCGGGAATTCGGCTATAACATTTTTGTTATGTAATATTTTTTTATGAAAAATTTAATTAGGTACCCAGAAACATGTACTAAACAACGTCGGTAAAACATTTTTCATAAATATTTTTATGGTGTCAAAAAAAATCGATAAAATTCCATATTCTTGCGCGGTACAACTGTATATAACCCCTTAATAACTTAAGACATTTTCAAATTTTTGGCTCTTGGCTTAAACTTAGGTACATTTCTAATCTAATTTTTAATAAGTTTAATAATGAGCGAGTCCGCCGTTTTTCGATATAACTTTATATAAACGATCGCAAAGCGAGCTATAAAAATTTTGCAGTATTTGCAGCAAAATTGTTGTTCAGGCCGTTTTAATTGCCGCAACTAAATTTGTTTTGCTATCAAATTGCCTGCCTTCATCATATACGATACGCGATAGCAACCCCCATAGGTTTTTGATTATATTAAGGTCAGGTGAATAGGGGGCTATTCGAGCAACTCCACATTTTGAGCCTTAATCCAATATTTTATCACCCTTGCTGTATTAATAGGAGCGTTATTTTGCTAGTAATTCCATTTAATAACGTGAAAAATGTTGGAGTAATAAGGAATTATAGATTTGTAAGTTTCTGCGCTCATTTTGGAAGTAACAAATTGCAGGTCGCAAGTGCCAAAGACTGATACCGACCTCCAAGCCATTACGCCTCCTCCACAGCTATAGCGATGGCTCAGGAAAATTCTTGTCCTTTCGAAGATCATGATAGAAAATATCCATCGGGGACGTCCAAATTAATTTTTTTTTCGTCGGAAAAAAACACTTTTTGCCATTCGCTCGTACAGCTCCTGTGCTTGCGAGCAAAGAGCAATCGTGAAGCTTTACGTGCATCATTTAACGGTGTTTTTTTTTTAAGTTTCATTCGGTTAAGATGATCACCCGACAAAATCACTCTTTTAACTGTTGACACACTGGCTTTAACACCGCAAATTACTTTAATTTTGGGTGCTGAGAGATGTGAATTGGACGCAGGTCGCACAATATGCCTCCTGTCTGCCGCAGAGGTGGCGTATTTGACACCGCTTTTCATATTTTTACCATATCCTGATTTGTTTCTCAAAAAATTATTCACAAAATTTTGGCTTTGTCCAATTTTTTGAACGATTTTGCGATGGCTAAGACTACGTGCACTAATTGTCCCATTTTTCAAATAATTTAAACAAAATATATGAATTTAAAAATTTGCATAAAAAATGTGTCACTAAGCCGCCAAGTTTAATTGCAAACGAAAAATCTTTCAGCTGAACCTATTCAGATGAACCAAAAAATTGCACAGAAATTAGCGGAAGCGATAGCAAAACAGAATATGTAAAGAAATGGTAATTAGCAAACGGTTCTTGACTAGCACACACTGATTAATACAAATTTTAAGTTTAAATGTATTTAAAACAAGAAAGGAAAGCTAACTTCGGGCGGAGCCGAAGCTTATATACCCTTGCAGTTAAAACCGGATATATATCGCAAACATCGGATATAGTTGGCCGATCCTTATGATTACATTAGAATAAAACCAATAAATTACAATACAAAATCTAAAAAAAAGTCCCAAGCTTCTATCTTCAAAAATACGAAAGTTGATATTTCTACCAAATACCATTTCCGATCGTTCAGTTATATGGCAGCTATAGGATATAGTCGGCCAATCCCGGGCGTTCCGACTTATATACTGCGTGCAAAGGAAAGAAGGGTGTGTGAGAAAAAAAGCTGAGACTGAGAGACTAGTTCGCGTAGAAACAGACAGACAGACGGACAGACAGACGGACTGACGGACAGACGGACATGCTCATATCAACTCAGGAGGTGATCCTGATCAAGAATATACTGCGTTGCACACTTTTGGACAAAATTATAATACCCTGGCAAGGGTATAAAAAACATGGCTACGATCAATATGTGATAAACAAATCTTGAAAATGCAAGCGGATTTATGTAAACCTATTCAGTTGAGCGGCAGTGTATGTCACTGCTCCCACGACGGCGTAG